ATATAGTGACTATTATTTAAACCTCACAATTTGCAAAAGAAAATCGTAAGAATTTTATTTTCGCATTTGTAGAATTCGTTTTTAGTTGATTTGATATAGAAATAAGCCACAAACCTACGAATTATGAGTTTGTACTTCTTTAATTAGCTAAACAGATCATGATTTTATTAGTATTAATAAAGTGCAATAGTTAGTTTCTGAAAAATAAGGGGTGTCACTTTAGGAGACCTATGTCAGTATCGGCGACTTTCTTCTATTTTTTTAATGTACATTCTAATTTTATTAAAAGCCAGCAAAAAAATGAAATTTTATCGTTTTATCTCGTATAGTGGTTTTGTGTACAAATAATTTCTTTAATCTCCTCTTAATAATATTAAAGATGAAGCCTAAAGAATAACCGTTTTTCAAAAGCATATTGATGTGCATAAATATTTTTTTCATAAAACAGAGGAAGAGATAATAAGATAGCATGGTCTACTAGATCATAGATGGTATCTATTTTTTGGCTCTTTGGATGGTTAGAGTAAAACGATAAGTATTTATTATCCAGAGAAAGTTTTTTTGTGTTATCAATTTGTAATGATCTTATTATCATTGCCTAAATAGCAAAATTAGTCGAAAATACGTTCAATCGACCTCCAGACAGGTCCGAAAATATATTAGATCTGACCTAATGAACGTCAAATTTACGTCGATCTGATGTAAGTGGGGAATGAAAAGACGGTAATTTAATATTATTAATTAGGTAATGGAAGGCATGCCCAATAGGTCATAGTTCGATTTGGTCAAATGGACTAGAAGGAGATCAAGTATTTTGGTAATATTTTGGTAATTTCATACTAATTGTGTTCTAAATTAGACTTAATTACGACATCTTGCAGTCTCCTTAACGCGGATGATCTTGTTTCTTTTTTTTCGAGAACATACGCGAGTGACAACGCTGCATAATGTATTCCATGATTCTATACGTAAAGATGAAGGGAAACAGTCATCAAATGTGATATTTGTATAAGCAGTACCGTCATTAGTTCAGTTTCTAAATTGATTATCGCGTGACATATGACGTAAATACAAGTGCGAATGAAAATTTTCCGTATAGATTTTTATTTTAAATCATTAAAATGAACGCGCCATAAAAAGAGAAGCTTTTGAAATATTATTACTTTATTATTAATTATTTGTTAATTTTATATTTAACATTTAGCAAATTAATAGAATTGTTCCCTGATTTGTTGGTTGGAAATGATTAAAAATATTGCTTACTTTCTATAATAGAAGAAATAGAAAATGTGAAATAAATGATTTTAAGAATATAGAATTATGTAGATAATATAATATATTATAGGACCATATATGTGATAACACAAACTATAGAAATCAAAGCCTTAAACGGTCTAGCTGGATCTTAATGCTTGTATGATTCTTATGTGAATTTATATACTACGTATGCAGTCCCCAGAAACGCGCGCCGAAATGATTTTTCGGTCTTGAAACGCTAACTCTATTAAACTACCGCAGTAATATCACGAGTTAAATTGATTGGCAATTTAACAAATTTTTGATGCTTATTCGCATCTTCGAAACGATCTTAATAATGATGAATAACATTAAAATCTGTAAATAATTAATTCTTATTGCAAAAAATATTACCTCGGCTGGAAGTCGAACCCGGATCTCTTGCATACCGTACGAGCGTCCTAAGCCTTTAGACTGCCAAGGTCTTAGTAATATTCTTCACAATAATTGGCATTATTTACAGATTTTAATATGTTATTCATCATTATTAAGATCGTTTCGAAGATGCGAATAAGCATCAAAAATTTGTTAAATTGCCAGTCAATTTAACTCGTGATATTACTGCGGTAGTTTAATAGAGTTAGCGTTTCAAGACCGAAAAATCATTTCGGCGCGCGTTTCTACATACGTAGTATATAAATTCACATAAGAATCATACAAGCATTAAGATCCAGCTAGACCGTTTTAGAATTATATAGATTATAGTTGTTCTTCTATGGCGATGATAACATCATAACGTATTTAACACTTTTAGATCTAATAGTCAAATATACTTATATTTTCGACCTATAAGTTGAATTTCTCTATTAGGAAGACTAAATGCCCAAATATTTTTACTTTGTGGGTAAATTTACCTTTTTAGGGCATTTCGACTTTTAAGTTAATAGATTTTCAAGACATTTTTGTGACTAATAGATAATTTCGACCAATATCCAACTTATAAGTCCAAAATCGTTATTTTGGTTAAATTGATTTCAAAGTTGAAATCGGCGCCATTTGATATATCGATCAAACTGTGTTCGAGTGTGTTATACTGTGTCGATTGGCCAGAATTGATGCTGAGAGCTATTAAACGGTGACATGCCGTCGATATTAAATACTAACGATATTGTCAGTGGTTGGGAAATATCACAAATCGAAAGAGTTGATAATAAATTTGATTTAATTCCATTATACCAAAATTTCCCTGTTACCATTTCAATAATATCGGTGAATAAAGGAATTTTTAAAAGAGTTCTTACATCTTTTGGTAGCTTTGTCATACCGTGCGATCTCAATATCTTTAACAAGTTAGTGACAGAAGCCAGAGTCAATCTGTGTGCCCAATCTGACAGTTCATTTAATAATGACAATTTAGCATTCATTAATTGCTCTTGATTAGCATCTATGTCATCTTGTTCAAGAATCGAGTCAAATTCCTTATCATTAGCTAATACATTATGGTCATCATTTGCTGTTGATAGTTCTGTCAAATTTACTAACTGATCATTGACACTGGCACTTGCATAACTTGTAATATTATCAGTGTGTGCATTTTCACGTATACCTTCATTGTTATTGCTTTTATTTTTTCTTAATTTTCTGTAATAACTTGACGTCAACCAATATGGTCTATACTTTGTTCGCTCTGGCATTCTTTTTCTGATTTAATTGTTTCTATACTATTTGCAGCTACACGCCTATATTATATGTAAATCAGTCAAGAGTGTACTATGTGAAGTAGAAGGCTCAATTGACATACAGGATTATATAGACTTTTAGGGCAAGACTGGTTCAATTTACTTTGAAGTTAATTTTATTGGTCATTTAGATCCAGTGTTGACTAAATTTACCTAATAGGTAACTTTCCTTGATAATCTCGATTTCGAAGTTAGCAGTGACATTATTAAAATATCAACGAACGTCTTTAAGTCAATAATTACCTAATTTTGACAACTTGAAAGTCTATTCGATTTTAAAGGCATAAATCCAGTTCGATATTAGGTAATTTATGACCTCAGAAACTTATTAATTATTGCCAGACTCTGAGAGAATTTACTAGATCAAAATTAAGTAATTTTTTACCTATCAAGAACACCTCAAACGCAAATGGACTTTGAAAACATTAATATGTTGAAATTAGGTAATTTTCCATCTGCAAAGAAAACCTCAAATACAATTTCATTTTTAGGACATATTTTAAGTCGAAATTTGGTCATTCTTGTCTTAATTAGTGCAATTTTACTTTGGCTTGGTTAAGATATCCTATTTTGCTGCTTGATAATTAAAGAAATATCGAGAAAATTAATGCAACGGTTCTCTATTTCCATCGTGAACATCAGTCTTTCACGATAATTATTAAATTTATTGAGAATATCATTAAGTTTGTCTTTATGAACCACTAATAAAATGTCATCGACATATCCGAAATATAATGATAGATCCAGTGTGCTCAAGACACTTTCCTCTAAATCTTGACTATATCGGCTGTGATTGGCGACGAAGAGGAGTCCAAAGGTCTGTTTATAAGTAACGTTATTAAAAGTAAAATAGGTAGATGAAAGAACAAATTTAATTGCAAATAGAAATTCTTCTTTTGATAATCTAGTGGAACACTTAATGAGCTCCCACCTTTTTTCAATACTAACCATAGCCAGATCCAAAGAAACGTTAATAAAAAGAGATGACATTAAGTGAAATAAGCACATCATTCTCATCCACAACCACACCTAAAAGTTTGTTAGCTAATTCAAAACTATTGTTTACAAAACCCCTCGCCTTAGGAATGCTACCCGAGATTTTTTTAAATCAGTAATACTTTTAATAAATCAATTTAATAAAACAAATTGACAATAATAAATTAGAAGGGCTACGGGCCAGATCTATATCTACAGCCCTTCAGACCTAAGGAGATCCTTGACCTCACATACAAATCAGATAAATCGTTTAATATTTAAAAAGTAAAAATAATCATTGCAAACATAAACATTATAAACGTTATAAACATCTGGTTTGTTTATAATGTTTATAATGTTTATGTTTGCAATGATTATTTTTACTTTTTAAATATTAAACGATTTATCTGGCTTGTAGCTCTTCTAATTTATTATTGTTGATTTTATTCATATTAAGTCGTATTATTAATTTGTATCTTAACCCTTTGGCCTACAACCATTTCTTCTTCTTCTTTAATTATGGCTCCCCCCCCCCAACAAAAAAAAATAGGAGGTCGATACGGCCTGATCACGTTTATGATTGTTTTCAGTATATCAAAAATGATGCAACACCCGCGAAAATGGCGAAGTCCGCTCGGACACCGGGCGTCTGCGTCTACATCGTCACGCCGCAAGGACGCGCGTCAGGACGACAGAACGGGTCGTCCAAGACCGCGGGATAATTATATGCGATTCAATGCTCGGTCAAAGTCGGCAACACTCTCAAAAATATATAAAGCAATAACACCCGAGACGAGGCGCATTCACCACGAGCGAGTGGTTTATCAGAACTGGGCCTACAACCACGAGTGAGACTCGTGGTAAGGAATTTGGTCCATAAACAATAAGCACGAATCAGACTCCTCACCACGAGTCTCACTTACCAAATTCCTTACCACGAGTCTCACTCGTGATTGTAGGCCAAAGGGTTAATAAATCAATTTCAATTACATTTTATTAATTACAATCGTGTGTTAACAACAAATAAATCATACCAACGAATATACGTACCGTATTTAAGGTTAACACCTTCTTTGCATACAATTTTCCATCTTTCAATCATTTCCGTTTCCTTGGGAAATGATAAATAACTGATTTTTTGTCTTTTCGTTCTCCACGAATTATTTTTACAATTTCGTACTACACACGACGGCATCGTAAGGGTATGAGCACAAGGATTGCCGTAAGCCCATGACACATGATGGAATTATAGAAGGTGATAGAAGGTGTGTCGTTGCACATAATGGCAGCAGAGAGTGGGGGGACATATTTTGTCAACCAATCACGTAGGGCCCATTCTATACGCGTGGAATTCAATCGTTCACAGCAGATGATTAATAAAAACAGTATTAGAAGTTAAAATAACAATGAAATCTTTATTTCAACCTATTAAAATGTAAAATATTACAAACTGTAACAATATTACTGATTAGAAATACGATTGCACATATTTTTTATTTTTCTTTGTTTTCTTACATTATTTATTTTTATTTGCATATTTATATTGCGCAACCTAATATACGATCTGGAGCTCTATTCTTGAAAAGGAACGTATACGAAAGTCTAGGGAAATACTATAGTATACGTAACGTATACTGTAGCATTTCCCTAGACTTTCGTATACGTTTCTTTTCAAGAATAGAGCCCCTGGTTCGCACCAAACATGCGATAACCTCCGTCGGAAATTTGTACTCAAGTTTCAGACCTTCTTTCGCGGTTAATGTATCAAAAATGTTGTCCTGTATATTAAAAAAGTCTCCGTGAAATAATTGAAATTCAGTATCCATGATTTTTTTGCTGCTTCCATGAAATCATTGGAAGGAACGATACAATTTCCACGCGAAATACGTGAAATCCAGTCAGTTTTACATGATAATTGATCACACGGTCGATCTGTTATAATAAAACGCTAAATACGCAGTGCCCCGAAATAAACACAGTCATATTGGATTTTAATCGAATGAGCCCCCCATGATTGGTTGTCCACTCCCCACTACTTTTAGACTACTGCGCATCCACGGGAACGACACACCTTCTATGATTCCACCATGATGACACATACAAGACAGTCCAGGGTACCTATCATAGAATAAGTCGGAATGGATTACGATCGGAATTATTCCGCTTTCCCTAGAAAACACAATAGAAATCTAGGGAATAATTGAATATTTCTGATCGGAATCGATTCCGACTTGGACCGCGGTCCGATTCACGCTCACAACGCTTAAAAATCATTTCATCCTTGTTGTTTGTTAAATGTTAAACGAAGACAAACGATGCTCATGAGCGTTGTCAGCATGAATCGGACCACAGCCTTGTTCTATGATAGGTACCATGGGGGTGGCACCCAGTTGGACACGGCTCAATTGGACACGAGCCACTCACAGCGCTTGAAACTACAAAGCTCCTAAGCACCGGTCGCTGTGATTGGTGGTGTCTAATCGAGACGTGGTCAATCGGGATCACCTCGTACCATGGTATAGTAGAATTATACAAGGTGTGTCGTTCCCGTGGATGCGCAGTAGCCTAAAAGTAGTGGGGAGTGGACAACCAATCATGGGGGGCCCATTCGATTCAAATCCAATATGGCTGTGTTTATTTCGGGGCGCTGCGTGTTATTATGACAGATCGACCGTGTGATCAATTATCGTGTAAAACTGTAAGTAATAAACAATATTTTTGTAAGTAATAAACTGTAAGTAATAAACAATATTTTTGATATATTAACCGCGAAAGTAGGTCTGAAACTTGAATACAAATTTCCGATGGAGGTAATCGCATGTTTGGTGCAAACCAGATCGTATATTAGGTTGCGCAATGTAAATATGCAAATAAAAATAAATAATATAATAAGAAAACAAAGAAAAACAAAAAAAAATGTGCAATCGTATTTCTAATCAGTAATATTGTTACAGTTTGTAATATTTTATATTTTAATAGGTTAAAATAAAGATTTCATTGTTATTTTAACTTCTAATACTGTTTTTATTAATCATCTCCTGTGAACGTTTGAATTCCACGCGTATAGAATGGGCCCTATGTGATTGGTTGACAAAATATGTTCCCCCACTCTCTGCCGCCATTATGCGCAACGACACACCTTGTATAATTCCACCATGCAAGATAGGCCGGTATTCATAATCAAGTCTTATTTCAAGACCGTCTTAAATAATGTCTTAAGACGCCAATGTAGCCTTCTGATTGGTGCGTGACTTCTTAAAACCGTACTTAAGACGGTCTTGAATATAAGATCTGACTATGAATACCGGCCATAGTGACGTTTACACAGCTCAATTTACGCCGAAGTTATAACTACTGACGTTAGATGCCGTGTAAACGCTATTTTTAAGACGAAGTTATTACTTCGATGTAGTAACTAGTCATTTGAAGAAGAGATGTAACATCGACGTAAAAAGGACGTGTAAACGACGTCGGTGTTATAACTTCGACGTAAATCGAGCCGCGTAGATAAAAATAGAAACAAAAAAGCGCGAAAACTGGGAAACTAGATATTTTCTTAAATTAATGAGAGAACGTCAAGTATTGAAAAGTTTAGATGGAAAAAGATTTCGAGCAGAAGATATTTTTAATAACTTAGAATCGTTTATGAACGAAAAAGGTTACACTAAAACGTCAAAGCAAATGCAAACCAGGTTTAGAACACTGAGGCGTAAGTAAAAATATATTTTATAGGAAATAAAATTAATTTGTTAGGAATGCATGTGTGTGTGTGTGTGTGTGTGTGTGTGTGTGTGTGTGTGTGTGTGTGTGTGTGTGTGTGTGCTTTTGATTTATTGAACGATAATTTTGTATTGTAATATTATTTATCATTTTTAGTTCAATATAACAAAATCAAAAGACAAATGGGAAAAAGTGGATCTGGCAATTACATGTCCTTATTTCCGTATGCCGAAGAAATGAGTCAACTTTTGGATTTTCGTCCCATTGCCATACAGGATGAGATTGATCGCATAACCAAATAAAAGTTGCTATTGTCATCCAAAAATTTTCTAACCAGTCTTCGTCCTTAAAATGATCATTAACAATTCGGTCCCACCAATCCAAACTTCGTTCTTTCATCCATACTTTTCTTTTTTGTGAAAATTGTAATAAAGGTCCGAGATCAAGAAAATGATTTGATGGCGTTGAATTTAACAAGTGTCTTAATATCATTTCTTTCTGTTTCGATGTCTTCGCCGTTTAATTAAAAGATTTTGAATATGTAGTGTGGATTGGGGAGGGCTCCGATTGCACACATCGCATATTGCACACATATATCGCTGATTGGCCAATTTAAAAATAAAATAATCTCATTGGCAAAACAGTAAAAAATTACTAGGCACCAGTTGATATGAGTGGTGTGTACAATCAGAACTGTAGGCAAACGGGATTCTCCATGTGGATTGCATGATCATGGTTTTTACATTTAAATATACAGCAACAAACGAATGGATGTGTTCCATGTTTACTTCAATCACTTAAGGGGATGTTGGAGTCTTCTTTTTTACCGATAAAGCAAGCGTTTATGTTCCTTGCGCGGTTCTTCGAATTAGTTGCACAGAATAAAAATTCCTTCTCCACAATTGAAATATCCGTGCTAATGTACCTGCTCCTGATGTATTTTGTGTCCAAAACTGGGAAAAATAATAAATTACAGATTCCTGTATCTATGTGCTATCAGCTCACCAAACATTTACTTCGTGAACAAATGGTCGCGTTCAGCAGACTCAACTATTGTGGAGCGGATCCGTGAACGCTCGCTGCTATTGGATATCTAGAAGAATACACCAATAGCAGCGAGCGCTCACAGATCTGCTCCACAACAATTGAGTCTGCTGAACGCGACCAATTATATGCACGTTATATGCTCGACATTAGGGCAGGAGCACATGTAGAATAAATAGACGATTACAGTCGTATCTTTAGAATTAAGTTTTGACGCCTAAATAAAAAGATTAGCGCAAGGAACGAAATTATGTGTCTAGCGCATGAGAAATCGACGATGTATGACTGTTTAACCATGAAACCGAGCAGTATTTTAGTTGATCTCTTTCTAAGAGATGGCGTTGCAATATGTTAGATAAGGACAGATGAATACGTTTGAGTGAGACACGATATATAATAAGTATAAGAAATTAATGAAAGATGTCACTATTGTCGAATTTGGAATTTAAAAAAGTCTGTACTATCGACCTTGGTTAACTTCGACCGTCACTCCAGCATCCCCTTAATTGTGCCCAAAATTTATAACAACCTAAAATGTTAATTTCACTTTTTAGTTATATGTGTATTAATTTCATTTGACAAACAAATATTTAATGATTTCTAGACACATACTAGCTTAAAAATTCACTTTACTTGTAGACTTATTTCAGCTTTGTGGGAATAAGCGGCGGAACGTGTAAACGCAACTCACCTTAAGTAGAAATTATAACATCAACATTCCTAAACGTGTAAACGCGATTCGCTTAAGTAGGAGTTATAACATCGATGTTATAACTACGGCGTAAATCGAGCCGTGTAAACGTAGTCAGTGTTGTGAAGCCGGGAGCACATAGAAAAACGTAAGTCCGTAAGACGTAATCAGTAAGGAAATCGTTAACATTGGATTCGCTACTGGCCTTACGGTCTCTACTGTGATTGATCAATTCACTTACTGCTTGCGTGTCACGGCCTTACGTTCTTGTATGTGTTATGGGCTTTAGACGGGACGGATTCTAGCGCATTCAATGTAGGCTCAGTAACGTACCGATCACTAGTAAATAGGAGATTATTATTCGCCTGTGTAAAATTTTTTTAAAAATGTTAAAAATTTTAATATATTTGACATATTTTACATATGTATACATATATATAAAAATATATAATATATTTAATAGATTTTACGTATATATACGAATATATAAATATTAAAAACTTAATAATTTGCGTTTAATAATAAAATATTAGCTGAAAAACTAGAAGAAAGAGTAAAATAATTTTTATAAACAGTTTCTTAAATTAAAATATTTAATTTGGCAGAATTTCATAGAATACCAACATTTGTTGCAAGGGTAAGGGAAACTGTCAAAAACCTTAACAGTATTCATAAAATAAATATACATTTAATTATAAAATTGTTGATTTTGTGACGTACTTGAGATATAAAAAAAACAATAATATAAATATCAATTAATGAAGATTAAAATGCT